GCCGAGGTGGCGAGACCGTTAAGCATACGCTGGTCTGCGGCGAGGAAGGTGGCCGTGGTGATGGTGCGAGACCTTGTCTTCAGGTGGGCATTGCGCATCCAATGCCTGGACTGTTTAGCGAAGCGCATACACAGGCCTTCCCCTGGGTCAGGTAAGCCCAATTCAATGCTTATTTTGGCTATTTTTAATGTAGCGTTTGAGCGCTATTAATGTTTATACTTTGGTGTAGTCATTGTACCTGTAAATACAGAGGGCTGCGCTACAAAAGGTGTTCACTCCACACTTCTGCCCTGACCGGGCACAAAAATAGCTTCTAGGGCTTCAGGGTGACGAAAGCACAAAGAATGTCCGTGGTCCAAGTTGGTGCACGTCCGCGCCGAAGTAGGTTCGCAAAAGTTTTGGCTGCAAAAACTCATGTTCCAGGAATCGTATTTCCCTTTTTTCAAAACTGCTTTTGGAGCCCTTTGCAGACTTTTTGCTCTAATTGATTTCAAATCCAACTGCTTCCTTGTTTCTAGAAAGAATATTTGGGCCAGTCGATATCATGAAGAAGAGCTGAGGGGATCCTCTGCTTACAACGGTGTTGACCTTTCTGATCCCGTGGTTGACTTCAGCAGGTTCGTTAGTGACAATGAATCTCTGGTAAACAAGGTAAGTACAGCCCCTCCGCCTAAAGTGAACAGTTTAATGAATTTCCGGAAGGTAAATTCGACGTCCCAGCGCAGCGCCTGTAAACTAGAGCCAGGTGCAAAACTGAGTCAAGAAACTGTATGATCAAAGAGCAGAATCCGCTGCTGGCATTTTTTTGTAACTGCGGCTATCGCAGAGGGTTAAGTTACTACGTAGAGCCCTCGCCGCTGCGATCTTCAGGTCCGCTTCCATGTAGGAAGAGAAGAGCTAAGATGCCAGGTGGAAGGAATAGTACATTCTGTACAGAATTAGTGGAGAATAGATAGGATGGCGTTGACTGTCGGACGAGGGTAGGTCTGCATTCAGGCAGGGCAGTGTTCGAAAGGTCTGAACATGGTAGTGTGTCTTTGTGTGGGGCAGCATTGAAGGTGATTGATCAGACTGAGGGAGGCAGCCGCTAGTGCATGCGCAATTGATAGCAGCCGCGCGAATCAAGCGTCCGCGCGGATGGGGGCTGTTCCGGAGGCAGGCCGAGGATTGCAATCACATGACCTCATGTGTGTCCTGGCGTGAGAGGTGGAAAGCGCTACAGAAGCACTACACGGCATCCTGTGGTAATGTCTACGTGTTGCTTAAAATGAAGTTGTGGCATTTTTGGGGCAGTCATCGCTAACCTGATACAAGGCAAGGACTCTATTGTAATTACAGTCCCTGACCGAGCTCATGAAATTTTGTGCCGAAATATAAAAAAACGCGTTTATGCTTACGAAAGAGGGCTTAAGCGGGTTTTTGAGATGTATCGCCTTACAGTATAACCCTAAGATATTTTGAGACACACTGGGAGGCCGGACTCTAGTTATACATATATTATGGAAAACGTAAGCAAACCTATTATTTCTCGTATTTATCTGATAATAAAGTACGCCTTCTTCGAATTTTGTATGTGAAAAAGTTGTATGTTAAGGTTTTTAAATCAATTTTTCAATTTCCCAAATAATCTTCATTTCAATTTTAATTTTAATCAGGGTTTTCGATCTACAAACTGTGTGCCTTCCGTAAAAGCAATAACCTACATTCCGCTATGTCATCAACAAATATCATAAAACGTTGTCATTAGTATGCGTGATATTGCTAATAGAAGTGAATACGCGAGTTCCAGAAAGCGGTTCAGAAGAAGAAGAAGCGACCACTATAAGAAGAGTTTTATTATCTTGACGTTTCGGAGGCCGTCGGGAATCCTTAATCATAGGTTATCGTAGAAAAGTCTGAGACATGCGCAGATATGGAGGAGATGTACACAGCACGGAAAGTGTAAACTTTGAATTCAAGAATAGCAGTCAGTAGATCGAAAAATTTTTCAAAAATTTTGAAACTTTTCTAAAACCGAAAAATACCCTTTTTAAAAGTATAAAATTTAAAGAAAGCGTAATTTGCTACCAAACGAGTACAAGAATTTTTTTCTTGCACGTTTTCCATAAAATATATTTGAATTTATAAAGGCAGTCAACATCAATAATAAAAACGCATACGAATTACTTTTTCCAGTTTATACGTTTTGTTAGTGGTCAGAACGAAGTTCACTAAAAAGCCCGCGCCCTATCATGACTGAAATAATTTCAGAATAGACTACACGATTCTCAATATCACAACCCGAGTCCATGCCGATTAGGGAAAACGTATCAATCTTTCCCATATGTCGGCATGTTGCACGAATTCTGGCACGTACTGTGAATAAGTTAGAGCTGACGAACCAAGAAATCCGCTGTTTTTGTTGGACTTGCATGAAGTGGTTAGTCTCAGAAACCGGTCCTCTCTTGTCTCTTTCCGTCGACCCGTCGGGGTGTAACACATATTACGTAGGTGGTAATTATTTTCTGCATGTGATCCTTCACAGTCAAAAACCGGCATCTTGTGATATCTAAAATACCATGGGAATTTTCCGCACT